AAGTGGGGAGGTTGTGGTCTCACCGCTGAGTTCTGTTTCCTCACCATGTCTGGCTCCAAGTCAGACAAATATTGCTCCATGATCAGCGAATGTCCACAGGCTGAAAAGGTGTGTGAAGTAACAGAGGTGGGTGAGAGCTGGGGACAGCAATGCCAGGTCAAAATGGAGCAAACTGGCATTTATCATAGAAGCCTAAAATTGTATATTTGGAAGGGACTCTGAGAGTCATCCAGTTCAGGCTAAACAATCCCTGACAGGTGGCCATTGAATCTCTTATTGAAAACCTCCTCTGAACAAGAGTCCACCACCTTTTGAGGGAGTCCATTCCACTATCAAACAAGTTTTACCCTCAGAAAGATCTTCCTAATGTTCAATTGGAATCTTCATTCATGGAATTAGGATCCATTGGTTCGCGCCCTACCTTCCGGAGCAGGATAAAGCAAGTCTGCTCTATCTTTCATGAGGCAGCCCTTGAGATATTTGAAGATGGCTCTCAGATCTCATTTTATCCAAGCTAAGCATGTCCTACCCCATTCCTCCATTCCACCATTCCTCATCAGGCTCCACTCCCAGACCCTGGATCCTCTTGGTCGCCCTCTTCTGCACACCTTCCAGCTTGTCAACATCCTTCTTACATGGTGGTGCCCAGAACTGGGCACAGGACTTAAGGGGGGGGGGGTCTGACCAAGTCAGAAGAGAGTGGGACTTTTTCTTTTTACCAATTCTTTTTCAAATTTTGATTTTTCTCTTGCAATTGCTGTTTTCTTATCAATAATTAAACTTTGATGTATTTGAAAATATTGCAGTCGGTCTGTCAAGTTCCCCTTAATTCTTCATACCTTTTCAGTTTAGGTTCATCCTGGTGCCCTTCTAATAATAATCAGTATGTGGCCCATTCCCCTTCCATATTTTTTTTCTTAACCGCCTGTGCTTCTGTAGGTGAGGTTCACAGGGGTGGGTTCTAGTATTCCTTTATATTTTGACCAGATCTTATATAATGATTTCCTTATTAAATGGTTCAGAAAACCCTTGTGGACCCTTACCTTCTCATATATTAAATAGGCATGCCACACATACCAATTATCATATCCCTCCAGATCTAATACATCAAAATCCCTCAATGTTATCCAGTCTTTAAGCCATAGAAGTCCTGCAGCTGCATGAGATTACTCTAGATCTGGAAGTACAAAGCTTCCTTTCTCTTTTTTATCTATCAACAGTTGGTATTTTATTTATTTTCCCCAGTCTTTTTAAAAATCTCTATTGTCCTTATCTTTAAGTCAGCTTTGACATTTCAGCATATTCCATCAGTTTTTCATGCCATTGTTCTTCTATTGGCATTTCTTTGCTTTTCCACCTTTGAACTAATAAAGTTCTAGCCGTTGTTGTAGCATACTTTTTTTTAAAAATATTATTTTATTAAGGATTTTCTTGTTTTACAGAAGTGTAGTGCCTCGTGTGTTTTTTTGTTTTTTTTCATGTAACATTTTTACAAATCCATTTCATTTGTTGAGGCATTAGGGGGAGAAGAGAAAAGAAAGAGAGAAGAAAAGGGGGGTGGAGAGAGGGAAGATGGATGGGGGTGGGGTCGGGTGGCGGTGTTTCTATTATGTTTAATGTGTGTAGGGTTTGGTGTCAGCGTTGTTTGTGTTGTTCACTTGTGTTCCTTTGGTGGTGAGAGAGGTTGGGCTTGGCCTAGGGTGTGATTGTTTGCTTGTGATTGGCTGTGGTGATCTTTGTTTTCGTGTGTGAGTGAGCATACTTAAATAATTTCTTCTTGTCTTTTGGCAAATCTTGACCTGTAATGTCTAATAAAAAGGCTTCTGGTCTTTCAACAAAGGTTATCTTAAACGTTCTTTTCATTTCATTACAGATCACAACCCAATAATTTTTAATTATTTTACACTTCCACCACATGTGTAAGAACGTACCTTCCTTTTCTTTACAGAGTCCACCAGCTTCTGAGGGAGTCCATTCCACAGTCAAACAAGTCTTACCCTCAGAAAGATCTTTCTCATGTTCAGTCAAAATCTCCATTCATGGAATTTGAATCCATTGGTTTGGGCCCTACCTTACGGAGCAGAATAATAATAATAATAATAATAATAATAATAATAATAATAATATTTTTATTTATACCCCTCTCGTCCCAGGTCAGAAAACCGGGCTCAGGGCGGCTAACAACAAATCTAGAACACTTAATTGATGCAACAACAACAAAAAAGCATAAAATACAGTATAAAATGTGAATAACAATAAATTCAAAAATCAATTTAGGGGGGGAAATCCATCCAATAAACATTAGATGATCACCAGGGCTAGCGGCTAAATTAGTCCTATTTGGATCAGCGAGGAGACCAGGGGAGAATTAGCTGTGGGATCCCAGAGCGGGTAATCTTCATAAAAACGGGAGGGGGAGGGGAGGGAAGGAAGGGGAATAAAAGATCAGGCTAAGTTCAAGTTGAAAGCCAGGTGGAATAGCTCTGTCTTACAGGCTCTGTGGAAGGAAGTCTGCTCTATCTTTCATGAGGCATCCCTTGAGATATTTGAAAATGGCTCTCAGATCTCATTTTATCCAAGCTAAGCATGTCCTACCCCATTCCTCCATTCCACCATTGCTCATCAGGCTCCACTCCCAGACCCTGGATCCTCTTGGTCGCCCTCTTCTGCACACCTTCCAGCTTGTCAACATCCTTCTTACAGAACTGGGCACAGGACTTTAGGTGGGGCCTGACCAAGTCAGAAGAGAGTGGGACTATGACTTCCTTAACACACATGAGGATTACTGATGGAAAACTGGATAGGCCCTCAAGTGTCAACATGGTGTTGGGGTCCAGAGCCTGCAGGTTCTTGGTGTACCCTCATGGGGTGTGAACTGGTGGTGACTGACTAGCAATGAGACCTTGGATTCATAGTAAAGAGCTCCAAGAAGATGTGGACCCCATGTGCGGCAGCTGTGAAAAAGATGGACTCCATGCAAGGGATCATTAGGGAAAGGATAGGAATGTGAACTGCCAATATCATCTTGCCATTATTCAACTCTATGGTGTGACCGCATTTGGAATCCTGCGCAGTTCTGGTCACCTCACCTAAAGAAGAAGATTGTAAAGTAGGAAAAGTTTCCCTCAGCCTCACATGGCCCTCCTGCATGCTGGGGGTGATGCGAATTGTAGTCCCAAACATCTGAGGCACAAGGTTGCAAAGGCTATGGTGTGGACAGGTGTGAGTTGTGATCTATGTCCAGATCTCTGGTCTTCCCCCTTTGTTCTTTGGGTTTTTTTGTTTGTTTGTTTGGCTAAGGCTTTTCTGTTACATCTTGTTGTCAACGCATACTGTGCTGCAGTCATACATAAAAAAATAGCATAGATATAAAACATAGACATATGATAGTAATAATAACATATCTATATTCTCCCACTCCTTCATGGATCACTGCCTTGCCGTGGCGAAGGGGCTTGAATAACTCAAAGGCGCTATGAGCTATGCCGTGCAGGGCCACCCAAGATGAACAGGTCATAGTGGAGAGTTTTGACCAAACGTGATCCACCTGGAGGAGGAACCGGCAAGCCACTCCAGTATCCCTGCCAAGAAAACTCCATGGACAAAGACAACAGGCATATAAAAGTTATGACGCTGGAAGATGAGCCCCTCAGGTCGGAAGGTGTCCAACATGCTACTGGGGAAGAGCGGAGGACAAGTACAAGTAGATCCAGAGCTGATGAAGCGGCTGGGCCAAAGCCGAAAGGACGCTCAGTTGCGGATATGCATGGAAGCGAAAGGAAAGTCCAATGCTGTAAAGAAAAATATTGCATAGGAACCTGGAATGTAAGAACCATGAACCTGGGTAAGTTGGATGTGGTCAAAAATGAGATGGCAAGAATAAATATTGACATCCTGGGCATCAGTGAACTAAAATGGACGGGAATGGGCGAATTCAGTTCGGATGACTATCATATGTACTACTGTGGGCAAGAAACCCGTAAAAGAAATGGAGTGGCCCTCATAGTCAACAAAAGCTGTACTGGGATGGGATGAAAGCTGTACTGGGATGCAATCTCAAAAATGATAGAATGATCTCGATACGAATCCAAGGCAGACCTTTTAACATCACAGTAATCCAAGTTTATGCACCATGATGGCTTCTTTCTGCCTCTTCCTGGGAATAGCACTTAGGGCCACAATTGTGACCAGCAGCCACCCGCACCTACAGGGAAGGCCTTTTCAAACCCATCTAAGGTGGCAACTACCACTATGCTTGAAGGAGCAAAGTAAATACTTTAACAGTGTGCTGTGAAGGACCTCTTTTAACTCTGCAAAGGGCATTAGAAGAGCTTTGCTGGATCAGGCCAATGGCCCAGTGGCGTAGCGTGGGGGGTGCAGGGGGGGCCGGCCGCACTGGGCGCAACACCTGGGGCTTAGGGTTAGGGGGCGCAAATCCACGGGTTAGGGGGCGCAAATCCACGGGTTAGGGGGCGCAAATCCACGGGTTAGGGGGCGCAAATTACTTGCCTTGCCCCGGGTGCTGACAACCCACGCTACACCACTGCAATGGCCTACAAGATTCAAGCATCTTGTTCTCACAGGAATAACCAGAAGCCAACGGAAACAAAATTTGGGAGCAACAGCACTTCTGATTCTGAGAACTGGAGTTCAGAGGCCAACAGTTGTGGAGAACGTAGCCATGATGGCCAGTAGCCTTGATAGCGCTCTCCTCCAAGAAATAAAATATTTGTAATCTCAATGCATTCTTGGGAAATTCCTTCATCTATGGCAACATTTTAGAAACAACCCAATTCCCTCTCTTTGTCAGTCAGTGACACTAGCCTGGTTTGTGGTCATTCTTCCATATGTGGTTTTGCACAAGAGCATTACTCAAATCCAGATGGCTGTTCTCAACTTCTTCTGCCCCACAGGGATTGTGACATCTATCCTGTAAAAGACATTTGGTTTCCCACAAGGTTTCATCAGTCCTCCATCCACCTATAAGTAGAGGGACCTCTCCTTCCCCAGACAACTGCTCTTCCACTTGGCTTCTGGCATCTCCAGGATTCCCACCAACCTCCAGCCATGAAGATCTTCTGCCTCATCTCTCTCGCCTTCCTCGTTCTGATGCTGGTGGCTCCAGGTAAGGCCTTCTTCTCAGATGCTTCTTCTCTGAGCTCCACAGCTCTCTGCTTTATTCCTTTTACACCTGCCTCTCAATCCCATGTGCAGGGAATCCCAAAGGGATGGGTGGGGAATTCTCTTGACCCTCTGTCCCCCTCGAGAGCTTCCCAAATGGGGCATCTGGTTGGCCACTGTGAGACCAGGTTGGTGGACTAGATGTGGCCCCTTTGACCGGATCCAGCAGCCGGGCTCTTAGGATCTGATTGTCATTGCAATCCTAAAATGTGGAATCTGATCCAAAGAAGCTGTTGCTATAAAATCTGCAATAACACATTTTCAATGCATTCAGCTTTGTGGTGGAGAACAGAGTGGGGCCAGTTTCCTGGGCAAAAGAACTTCTCTCTCCAAGGTTTCCAGTGCCCCAAGGACACCAGTGATTGCCTTGGGTCAGCCATCCTTCTGAAGGCACAGGGGGGAGGGGGAGGGTCTCACTCTATCCCAGTCCCCTTTCCTGCATTCATCCTGCACTAGCCTCCCCCAACCTGGTGCCCTCCAGATGTCCTGGCTAGCAGATTTTCTGGAGCAACCTTCCCAGGTAGATCCTCTCCTTGGTAGTTGCTTCACCCTCTCTCAGTTTGCTTTTCTCTTCACTTTCCCTTACAGATTTGTCTGTAGCTCAACGTCCCACCCAGGATTGCCAGAACAATGGGGGCAGCTGCAGAAAAACCTGCAACAAAGGCGAGAAAGAGATTGGGAAGTGTTCGGGAGACAGGCGTTGCTGCAAGCGCAGCTAAGGTGAGTTATATGCAAAACCATACCTGTGCCTGGAAATAAGTCTGTGGCATCTCAAAGAGACATGACCCTGAAGGCTTGAGAGTTACAGCTCTGCTTCTTTGACCCTTAACAGCCATAGGGGGGGGCACTTGCTAGATTCTCCCAAATGCTAAATTCATTGTTTTGAGTTTGGATGCTGAGAATTCCCTGATGACATTTGGAGCCACTTGACTCCATCAGCTTAGAAAACAGGAGCTGGAGAACCGAGCCCAGTGTGGAACAAGGTTTTTGAAAGCCTGGAGGGCAGCCTTTGTCAACCAGGTGGCCACCTGATGTTTTGGATTATCAGCCCCAGACTGTGTAAGGAGGCATTTGGGTTCGGGATGGAGAACTCTCCCGACCTCTGCACATTCAGCAGAAGGTATAGCTGTCAAACTTCGGATTTGAAAATAAGGGATTGGCAGCCTAGAAAATAAGGGATCAGCAGCTTCACCTGTCCCGGGGACAGTCTACGGGATATCTAAAAATCTGGGATAGCAGCGGGAAACGGTGCTGGAATAAGGAAATTTCCCGCAAAAAAAGGGAAGGTTGACAGCTATGGCAGAAGGTCACACTCTAACCAACGCTAAAGAGCTGGACTAAGGTCTGAGCCAACCCCCTCCCCCATGAAATCCCAACTCTGTTAGCATTAGGCTCTTTGTTCTTCCAGGGGGACCCCTGGCCTCTTTCTATACCCCCCCCATATTCACAGTGTTTCCTCTACAGCAGACCCATCACGCATCATCTCTGATGAAAGGAAGACCACCACCCGTTTCTTCTCTGGAGATGCAGCTGCCTTGACTGCACCTCTGCAAAAACCTCTATGCTCACTGCTGCTGCTGCTGCTGCTGCTGCTGCTGCTGCTGCTGCTGGAACTTCTGGGAAGGATCCATCACAGCCCAATCCTTTCTGCCCATTTACTCCAGAGCAAGTCCTGCTGTGCTCAGTGAGGCTGGCATCTTTGTAACTGGGTTTAGGATGGGATATGTCTGCTTTAGCTTTTCCTTTCAATAAATGCAAGCATTGGAAACCTCTGTGTGGTGGTGCCTTGTATGAAAAGGGGCGCTGGGTTGGGGTGGGGGCTCTGCCAGTTCCTCTCCATACTGTGACTTTTATTTGATTTGGGAGTAACTGGCAGGTGCTTCTGTGCAAACCAGTGGAACTGGGAATTGTCCTATATCTGAAGAAGGTTCAGGGGGGCAGTTGGTGGGAGTGGGGGAAAGCCATGCTAGACACATCCCCTTTCAGGTCAAAATGGAGAAAGATTTTAATTATCATCAGAGAATCCTAGCATTATAGAGTTGGAAGGTAGCCTGAGGGTCAACTAGTCCGAGCTAAAGAATCTCTGACAGGTGGCCATCCAATCTCTGCTTAATATTCTCCGCTGAAGGAGAGTCCACCACCTTCTGAGGGAGTACATTCCCATGGTCAAACAACTCTTTCATTCAAAAAGATCTTCCCAGAGTTCAGTCGGAATCTCCATTCATGGAATTTGAATTCATTGGTCTGGGTCCTACTCTCCAGAGCAGGAGAAAACTATTTGCTTGCTCAATCTTTCACGTGACAATCCATAAGATATTTAAGGGTGGATATCATATCTCCTCTCAGTCTACTCTTCTCCAGGCTAAACCTATCAGCTCCCTCAACCATTCCTCATATGGCTTGATTTCCAGGACCTTGATCATCTTGGTCCCCCTCCTTTGCACACCTTCCAGCTTGTCAATATCCTCCCTAAATTGTGGTGCCACAGAAGAAGGTGAAACTATTGATAAATTAACATACATGAGGATTACTAAGGGGGTGAATCACCTGGTGCCAAGGCCCACAACTGTCAACAGACTGTAGGGGTGCAGAGTCTGCAGCTTCTTGGTGTACTCTCAAGGGGTCCGAACTTCCAGGGAGCTCAAGGTGGGGCACACAGTTCTCCCCCTCTTCATTTCATCCTGGCAACAACCCTGTGAGGTAGGCAAGGCTGAAATGTAGTGACTGGCCCAGGGTCACCCAGTGAGCTTCATGGCTGGCTGGGAATTTAAGTCCTGCCTCCCATTCATAAATATGACTGTCTCTTTAATACCTTTGACCACCGGGAACCTGCCAACGTTTCATTTAAGGCCAGAGCTGGATCTAAGGTCGGGTTACCAGACGTCCCCGTTTTCCGGGGACAGTCACTGGATTTGTGAATAAGTCCCCAGACGAATTCCATCCCCGGAATGTCCCTGGATTTCATCCAATGTCCCTGGGAAACACAGCAGCGGCAAGTCTCAGCAGACTGGAGCAGTTGGCTCTGGCTGGCTTCAGGAGCTGCTGGGAAGTCCCATAGGATGGTGGTGCAGAGGCTCTAAGATGCAGCTTCCGGGCTGCCTCCACCTTCCCTGACCCCAGCAACTCAGCTGTGAAGTGAGGCTTCATGCTGCCTATCGGAGCAGCCGCCCAACTCCTACTTGTGTGCAAACAGGAGTGGGGCGGGGATCTCTCCCTTCCCAACTGAGGGATCCCCGCCCCCTCCTGCTTGCACACAAGTAGGAATGAGATTGGGGATGCTCCGATGGTCTCACCACCGCTGCTCTCGGCCCTCCTTCTCCGCCTTCCATGCCTGACCCACTGCGCACTGCTTTCCCACCACCCCCACTGAACAATCAACAACTCAGGGGCTGCCCAGGCTCACGGAGAAAGGAGACTAAAGCCTTGGATGAAGCGGAAACCTGGTGGTTGAAGTCAAGGCAGCGGCCGCCTCTCTGCCACCGCCATAGGGGCAGCATTAGCGTCCTGAACGTGTAGTATTTATTTATTTAAATATTTTTATTAGCAATTTCAACAGAACACAATTTATTTATTTATTTATTGTGTCCCCGGATTCATTGAAAAAAATCTGGTAACCTCAATCTAGGGAACTGCTGTAGTTGATCCTTTAAAATATGGGGAATGGGCTGTTGTAGTTCTCCCAGCATGAAAATGAAAACTGGAATCTCCAGTATCAAGTCATGTCCGGGAAGCTTTGACCTTCCAGATGCAACTCCCACCAGTGGCCAATGGTCAGGGGTTGGATCCAGAGTTGTTATCCAAGCAACATCGGTATCAAGCGGTCTGACCCTTCTTCTTCTTTTACACCTTTTTTTTTTTAAAAAAAGATGTTTATTAAGATTTTCAAAGTATTACAAAATGAAAAAATAAAAAATAAAAATACAAAATAAAAAAAGTTAAAAACAATTCCATCTTTCCATTACTTATCTTTCATTTGCTTGTTTCCCGGACCTCCTCACACTTCCCTTTTTTTTGTATTCCAATTCAATTTGTTAGTTCAGCAAATCCTTTCCCTCTTTGTTTATCCTAGTCTTTAATCTTAAAATATAGTAACATTAAATTTTTACCTGTTAATAATCCATTTTTTCATATTCCTTATAGCATTATAGCTAAAAACCACTTAACTTCTTATCCAACACCATTCTAACATTCATTAATTTTACAGTATTTCTGTAAGTAGACTTTAAACTTTTTCCAATCTTCTTCACCGACTCTTCTCCCTGGTCTCGGATTCTGCCAGTCATTTCCGCCAGTTCCATATAGTCCATCATCTTCTTCTTTTACACCTTAAGACTCACACCAATGCACATTTTAACCCTAGATCAGCCTCATTTCTTAATATCCAGCCCAAAGAAGCGTTCTGCAGAACTCAAAAGCTTGTGCATTGTTTGGTGACCTGTAGTCAGTCAAGTAAAGGTATTGACTTATAATGGATATTGTATTTTAGTCCATGGTGGTATGATTCTGATTTGTATACCATCCTTCATTTGTAGATTACAGGGCAGTTCACAACATAAAAAACAAGATAAAAAACACAAAATGCATCATAACAAAGCAAAAACAAATCCATATCTCCCCCAAAGCACCCTGGGGACATCATCCACTCACAGAAAATGTCCATTCATCTGTTGCCACCCTCTGGACATCTTGGGGAGGAGGAACACAAAGAACGGCCTCAGATGATGATTTCAGGGTCTTGGTAGGTTCACATGAGGTGAGGGACTCCTTGAGTAATTGAGGTATGATGGAATGGAAGCAAGAAAGGAGGGGAAAGAGAGCATAAGATGCATCAAATCTTGAGAGTTTTGTGAGTGTCACCCAGATGATGGGGTGGAAGAACTCACCTGAGAGGCCTCACCTGTCCAGGGATGACCACAAGGTTTTGGGCAGCTTCCAACCTACCTTTCCTTAAGAAGATATGATAGCTACCTTCAAATATCTCAAAGGCTTTCACACAGAAGATGGAGCAAGCTTGTTTTCTGCTGCTTGTTTTCTGCCGGTGGGACCCGGACCAATGTCTTCAACTTACAAGAAAGGAGTTTCCAACTAAACATTCGGAAAAACTTTCTGACAGTAGGAGCTATTTGACAGTGGAACAGTCTATCTCAGGAGGTTGTAGTCTCTCCTTCCTTTGCGGTTTTAAGCAAAAGTTGGATGGCCATCTGTTGTGGATGCTTCAGCTGAGATTCCTGCATTGCAGGGGGCTGGGACTAGATGACCCTGTGTGTCCCTTCCAACTGTACAAATCCATAATTCTATAAGACAGGGATGGGATCCTGGGGGTTCTCCAGGCAATGTTGAAGATACCTCTGGCTATATATCACAATGCCTTTGTTCTACCTCCATTGTCATGGCAGGAGACTGTGGGAAGGAGCACTTTTGGGCTGTGGTCCTGTCTGTGGGCATCTGGTTGGCCACTATCAGAACAGCCAAGGAAGTTGGCAGGAGCTCAGACCTTCACCAGCCCTGTTTCGGGATATTGCACACATGGAGGAATCTCATGTCTCCATGGAATCCTAACTACATGTCCTGTCTTGGCCTTTCTGTCTTTTTGCATTTAAGTGTTTCACACATCATATATTAGAGTCCAACAGAAAACAAGACCCAGAACACCTTTTCAGAAGATGGACCTACACAAAGGTTTCCATGGGTTGAAGCTGGTAGAAAAATGGTATTATACACCATTGAGGTTATATCATATTACAAAATCTGGAAGTAAGAGTTGCTGGAGGAAATGTGGAGTGATGGGAACGCACAGCCATATGTGGTGGGACTGTCCGTTAGTTAATGAATTTTGGAAACAGATTGGTATAGAAATATCGGGAATTGTGGGAAGGAACGTGGAAATAACTAAATTAATGGTTCTTATTACCCTGAGTAGTACTGAGTTAAAAGAGGAATGCAAATAGGTAAATTTGATGGTAATTGCAGCCAGACAGGTTATAGCGAGTAATTCGAAAAATGCAGAAGAGTTAGGGGTGAACCAATGGAGGAAAAAACTGAATAATATTATAATTTTAGAATACCTAACTGTGAAGATACATAGAATGAAAGGGTTTAAGGTCAGTGAGAAAGAGGAGGATTGGTTTGAGAAGATAATAAATTATTTGAGTAGGTTTGAAAAATTTGGGGCAATTAAAATGTTAAAAGTTAAATAAACCTCGTGGAAGGAGGAGTGTTAAGGTATATAGATGTGTATATATGGTTTATTTGAATATGTTATTATTGAATATTATTGAATATGTATATTATTGAATATTGTATACCCAATGTATCAGCCACCTGGGGGGTTTCACTGTTTGTGTTCTGGTTGTTGGAAGAAAATAATATATATATATATTTTAAACAGCAACAACAATGGTTTCCAATGCTTGCATTTATTAAAAAGAATGCATTGAGATTCTCCTGAGTAGAGACAGACAGGACGGTTCCCTCTTGACTCCTTCCCAGCATCGCCTTCAGCAGCATCAAGCAAAGCGGTTTCTTCCCCATCAGAGATGGGGGTGCAGTCGAGGCAGCTGCACATCAGAGGAGAGCAGGGTGGTCTTCCTTTCACTAGAGGTCTTGCACCAGAGATCTGCAGAGTTACCCCCACCTGTGAGAAGAGGAAACACTGTTAAAACGAGTGTTGGTGGTGGTTCTGAGAACCCAAACCAGTGACCCCAAGTGGGAGGCAGAAGAGCTGCTGTTGTAGGTGCTCAAATTGCACACAGAGGCTTTGTTTCAGAC